GACAATTTCAGGTAAATTTGTGAAGAGAAGGGACTCTGAACTGCCACTTGTGGACGTTCCTGACTGCAGTAGTCGATGTGGACAAACCTGAACTATATGCATAACTTAAACAGGCCGCCTGTCCCTACGTGATCGCAACCGAGTCACATTGCAGATTTATCTCCTGGAGAGTATGTGCCACTTTTCCGCTAAAACCATGTGTCTTCGTCAGAGAGTCCGAAGATACGGCAGACACGTTAATGTGAAGTCGTGAATTTACACGTGTGATGATAATGATGCCATGCGTGCAAAATATTGAGCCGGAAATGTTGGTGAAATTTTATTGATAATCTTGTCAACATTTGATATAACCCCACGCCCAATATGGGTTTGCTCGTACAAACCTCAAAGGGGTACATTGTTTTTTGCCGTTAAGTTACTTCTAGATTTCACGGGAAATACAAATTTCTTTCAGATTTGAAAAAGTTTCAGATGTCCATGTACTGTAACAGTACATGGACATCTGAAACGTACTGGTTTGATACAGTACTACTGTATCAAACCAGTACGTCACTCTCTCCTCTATGCGCCGCGTTCAAACTCTGCTAATAAGATTCCATGATGTTCAAACATCTTGTTTTGTCCTATGGCTATCTTCTTGAGAGCATGTGTAATCCTAGAATGTTGAATCCTGCTGAAGACGAAAATAACCATTTAAGCTGCTTTCAACAATTTTATGTTGTTGGAGTCAGCCTCTGAAGTTACATTTGACGCTGATGGATCCTGTAGTGGCTTCCACTATGGATTAAATGGGACCTAGAAGACAAGTCTCGCTGCAGTTTCTGATGAGAACTGACGTGGACTGGCTCGTACTGTAATACCATCGGATCTTTAACTGAAACTTTGGGCATGTGGGGAGCGGGCCAGGGTCTTCGTCCTCCACCCTTACAAGCGCTGCACAACCGCGTACGTGAAGGTGTCGACAACCGGATTTTGTCATCGATCAAAAAAGATCGACGGTCTAATGAGAATATCATTGGGCATATCATTATGATATGCCTCTTGAGGCTAGAACTTTGCTGAAAGTAAGGTCGCTCAAGTAACTGTGCAACTTCCAATTTACTAAATAAAGAGTGTATAATCGCGATTACCATTTAGTATCCAACATGAACCAATACAACCCCTGTACATATGCATAGAAAAGTTCGAGCAGCGTTGAAAGTTTGATAACACATCGAGTGAAATAGTTTCATATTGATGCGAAGCGATAAACTAGAGAATATGACCAAATACCCAAATTCCTCCCTTCACATTCATATCCTTGAGTAATTTTTTTGTAAAACGTGTCACTATTTACATTGTTGAATAGATAAGCATACGTGATAAGCTTATGCATAGATTAGACTTCAGAATATGTAGACATAGGGCAGTTATTATTGTTATTTGTTCTAGAACTACCGTGAAATTGAGACCACCCTATTCAATTCCAATATGACTACTAAGATCACCATAAACCATTCTAATAAGGTAATTCAATAATTTTCAATTAGAAAAATGGTTGATGGAAATAACTTAATGCAACAACCTGCATTGATATATAATGTATGTTTGGCTTGATGTTATTATTTATCATGAGATAGATACAATTCAAGAGATCTTATGATCATTTTGAATGTAGTTTTATTTTTTAATGACTCAAATTATGATAAAATTATGACATCTTCAAGATTTGAAATTTATTTTTAGTATTACGATTTTCTTCTAATAGTGATGAGCTTCGAGTAAGATTAATACAAAATATGATGCAATAAATGTTTAGAAAAAAATTCTGTTGAATCTTAGGTGTTCATGATAATAATATACAAAGTTGAGATAGCTTACAGTCAGTATGATACTATGAGCATCTATCAACTCAAAATGAAAATATGTTAGAAAAAATAATTTAATAATAGAAATTTAACAGTTTTGCAATTATAACTTATAAACACTAGCAACAAGTTATGAATCGCACTAATATATATCTGATATACTATTGGAGATATTCACACTGAAGTAAAAGTTTATGAGATAAACTAGAATAATAATTTATGACTACCAAAGTAAAAAAATTAACCTATGTCAAAAATGCTTTATAGAGTATTGCAATATCAAGATTGAAGAATCCGGTGTGCATAAATTAGATCAAATCAATGCAGAAAAGCTTCTGAATATGTTGTGTCATGATTTACATATACATGACATAATGGTAAAATTATGATTATAATCTTCTGATTGATGTTATTAAATATGAAATTTTTCTCTGATAGAATTATTCATCTTTGATGATTTGAAATAATAGAACAGATTTTTTTCAATACATACATATTTATTTTTCTTAAAACAGCAAAATGAATATTCTTAAAAGTGAAAAAAATATAGCTTTTAGAACTTAAGTTTATATTCATATGAAAATATCAAATAAAAATGATGAAAAGGGATGAATATTTGATATTTTTGTTTGAAGAAATTGATATCCGTAACTAATGAGTGTTTTATATGTTATGTTATTGAAAATAGTTTTCTTGAAGTTTTATTTTTACAAAATGATTTACTGCAAAGCATAATTTACCGTTCAATTAGAAAATGAATGTAACTTCATGAGTTAAAATTTTTTTGTTCAATAAAAAATATAATATTTATTTAAAACAATGATTTAAATTCAAAAAATTAAAAAATTGCAATTTTATTTAATTAGTATATTTTCACAATTTCTTATTTTCACTTTATAGTCCTCCATTTCATTTTTTATTTTTATGAAATTATTTATGCAGTATATTTATTTAAAAACTGAAAAATATTTTATATCTTTCATTTCTGATATAAATTGTGTTATTTTTTTAAATTTATAAAAATAGTAGTATTAGTAAAATTCGAATAAAGATCGGTCTAAATATATTTAAGGTTGCAAATTTGAACCTCTCATGGCAAAGGAGTAGAAACAAAGGTTCATAAATGTATTTAATAGCATAGTTATATTTTAAAAAAATGTTTGCATTTGATGAATTATTTTCCTCTAAGATTAAGTGTAAAATTGTGAAGGAAAATATTGTTAATTCATTTAAAAAATAGTTATTTTCAATTTATTCAGAAATTTTTTATAGTTTGAAAGTAAAATTTTTTTATCAATGTTGAGGAGGTGGTCAATCATCATGCAGAGCCAAAAAAACAAGCTTAGGTTATAAAACTGAGAATGATGATTGCGGTATTCAGCTTGTGAGTAAAATCATGGTTAGACTAATCAATGAGGTTAAATGTGATTGGATGAATTTATTGTAATATTAATTTTGCATAGTTTGATTTTTCATACATTGTAAATTAAAATTAATCTTTTTTGCCATATATGATCAAAACCTGATGTATTGTTCTTTTATAGTTAGACATATTTGAATAAATACACAGCTATGATGAATCGGAAGCATATTCATCACAAATGTACATTTTTATTTCCAATCTAGTTTTGAGACTCTAATTTACTTTGGACAATGCTATCACACTTTGTAACTCAATTTGAAATTTGATCATAAACTTGTTTATCTTTATTTGAATATGTAATTAATTTTTTATAATTTTATTAAATTGTCACGATAAAAGAAAGGAGATGATTTAAACTGAACGTTTTTGATGGGTTTTTAATGAAATAATTTCAAATTGCCAATCACAATCAAATGATCGATCTAGTTTCACATATATAGTAACAATATTCTTGTTCAAAACATTGATGTTCAATTACATGTTAGATAATTGTGAGAATTTTTTTTAATCAATTGCTGAAATGATTCCTGGTACAATTGTTGTTGCTTGATTTAGACTTCATCTATTTACAAATGCAGTAAGGAAGAGATATTGTAAATATGAAGATGTAAGGTGACACATAATTTACTATATTTAACTTGAAATTACATGTAGCAAACATGATTATCAGATTTACTATGTTTGCTTGACTCTTAATTACTCTCTTGATAATGGTAGATGAATTTCACAGTTTTTACAATCTATCTTTGCTCTGCAATCTATAGAAAACTGAAAAATTTGAGACCAATTTCAAATGGTAATTCGAATCCAATAAACATTATCGTTGGTATTTCGCAGTTTTTTAAAAAAACAGCCGCAAACGGAAACAGCCCTTACACTACACCTCATATGAATAATTTGCCACAAATTCAATGTTTAGTTTGAAACTAACCGCAATCCTATCTAAAAGTCAAATGCTATTGCGACGCAGTCAAGAGCAAGTTCTCATATTACCTAGTCCCGGGCTGTGATGGCGACCACAATGAGCATAACTATCGTTTGAAACATTTCTCAATTCTTACATCGCAGTTCCTTCGCTTTGATCTCGCTCACGCCCTGTTTGATGAGTTTTGACATTTTTCATGAGTAAACTGTAAGTGAATCTCCTTGAAATTAAGTGTCTCACACTTTGACCGCTGTTAACCTAAAACCTTTGTTAGTAAACCTCCCCCAATTTGTCACTCGTAGTACAGTACTCCTATTAGTTACAGTTTGTCATTCGTATTTTTCACAAAAAAATACTAATATGCCTACATCTTTGACACCAGTTGTAAACATTGATGGATATTCACAGTGAAAAACAATTCCAACAGACACAACAAAGGAAATACTAGCGAAGTAACCACAATCGAACTAATATAAGTTAACAGGAAAAATGTACACCTAACATCACACAATTGTGTAAAATATCTTCATCACGGTTCTCAGATCCATCAGTGGTAAAATCTTATTCTGCTAGTATATAGCCATGGTTCTATCTTTGAGGGGTTTACTTTGGCAGATGTAATAGACTCCCGCGCTATCACTTTAATACAGAATATTATTCTATGATCCTGAAATGATTCCAAACGGAATACAAAGCAAAAAATTATTCCATGGTCCATGACACTCAAGTTACTTCTGACGACTTCTTGACGATTAATAATTGTTGCAAGGGATGGTCCAAAGTGGAATAGCTGATGGATGAAAACTTGAGAAGAACCCGAAGCATCTAGCTCTCCTGCCCAACGTCTCCGTTCTAAAAGTGTTCGCCTGCGGCGAGTGGGTCAGTGATTCGTCCATGTGCTCCCGTACTCACAGTGACGGGAAGAAACATCGATGTCCCGGGACGAACTACTGTGAAAGTCACGAATGGATCCCCCTTCCTTATGGTTGGGTTGCGTTTGGCTTTACCCGTCTTTATGTTAGAGGGTCCTTGGGCTCTACACTGAGCAAAGTCTTGATGCTATAGACGAGAGGGACGAGTCCGAAAAAACCCTTGCCCGAGACGTTAATCTTAAGGTAAGAGATACTTTGGCGAAAGTCTTGTTTAAACAGAGTAATACGGCTTACCATTCTCAGTTTTCAGCACCTCCAATTCTATGAATTTCGATGTACATACAGTTGATGGCGCCATGTCTGACCCTTGCGGAAGTTCGACTGTGGACTGAAAGTATCAGTCCAAATCGTGAATTTTGATTTTCAGAATTTAGTGTTGTTTTCTTGTGTGTTTTGCATTTGAGAAATCCACCGTACGCTGAAATTTATATCATCAATTCTCTAACTGTGCAAGAGAGATAGCCTGTGTGATTACTACATTGTCGATATATGAGCTGAGGGGTTTACCATTGCCTTCCAGAATACACACAGGTTGGTTCTGTGTCATTCTGCTTCTGCTTGAGGAAAAAAATCTTCAGGGAATTTCCTACATTGAGCAGAGGTGCTCATGGCAGGCTGACCTAGTATTGAGCTCCCTTCGGCCATGGAGCAGTTCTTGCAGAATTGAATTGACAGATTCAAGTCGAAAATGCAGTGTTATCAATCTCAAAAAGTCTTATACAGGTATGTTCAAACAGGAAATTAGAAGAAGGGCACCATGGCCGCTTCAGCTGGGGTGGCTGCGGTGTTTGGCTCGGGGACAATACGCAGCTGTTTCACATTTGGGTCGACAGGCCGTCGTCAAGTAATCCCCGGAGACGTGGTGATATTGAAAATGAGGACGACGGAGACTGGCGTCGGAGTCTCCACAGGGAGGAAACAGGGTGTGATTTTTTGCTCGGCCTCGAGTTTGTCTACCACTGAGAAGACGAAAGATAGAGCTGTCACATTTCGGCCCTGTATCGACATCCACCAGGTTCGATGACGCATGCTCCACCTTGCCACTGGGGTTAGCATCTTATTAAATCTATCATCGGTTAGAGTGAATGCAACCTTTTGAGATATTTGTCCTGCAATGTTAACAGGGTAAGGTGAAACAAATAGTGGGCTCTACCTTGGCTATTGTGGACGACCCCGCGTCTGAGGATTCCGTGAATGGAGAAGATTTGAATGCAGGATCTTCTCTCGTCACGAACTTTGTATCGGAGCAGTCTGCTGCATACTTTGCAAAGTTGTACAAATCGCACAAATTGAAAGGCGGCCATGTGATAGCTCTTAGTAAGGATGAGGCGAGTGAGGTTGAAGCTAGAAAAGCTTTGGGAGAGTATCCTGGCAAGTATCTTTCTCGAGCTTGCCTTTCAAAAATAGGATCTGACTTCGTCTCAGATTTCCATTCTTCCTAGTGTATGTAGAAAAAGATCGACTTGCCTTTTCTTTACCCCCTTGATTCACTGAATTGGCAGGGGGTTTGCAGTTTGGTGGTGGTGTCAACCCGGAAAACGCAGAGAGGTATCTAGAATATGGTGCCAGCCATGTCATCGTCACGTCGGTACTGCCCTTTTTACTTCCCATATCTGTCAGTCGTACTTATTTACCTTCATGAAGCATCCACATCGTCTCAAGTCCAACTGGCTTATTTAATTTTATAACATGCTGTTCGGTTGCTTAGATCTATCTTGCAACTTTTCATGTTCCTCTGCCTGTTATTTTTAATTTCATGGCTCTATTTCGATGGGCTCGTTTTTTTTGGAGTCCTGATGGATTCTTATGTTTAATCTTCATGAGTGTCGTGTCAGTCTGATGCACTTCATGCATCAAACTATGAAGGGCATCGTTCTCACTTCTTGTGCTAGCCCGGATCGTGGGCGTTATCTTCCATCAAATGATTATGGGGTTTACATCAGGTCTTTCAAGTTCAGAGATTTATCCTGCAAAATGGTCACCATATAAGTTGGGACGATAAAGTTTTAAAGTTGAGAGACCTAAGTAAAATTCAGATCCGAGTCAAAAACAGCTCTGTATCATTTTCATGTGGTCTGTTATGTTAACCCAGTTTCTGGGGTTTGTTGTACCTTTCATTCCATTCATGCTTATGGTTGTGACTTAGCATTCAACCGGTTATCTTGTACAATGCCTTTCGAATGTTGGGATTTTCTCTATAAACTTTCCTCTGTTATGCTTCCGAGTCGCTCCATGCTTGATCAGAAAATGCTGAATTAGATTATCTTCAGGGGGCTCGGTGCCTAGGCCCAAGGTTGAAGGTCAAGGATGGGTTGAACGAAAAAATAGAGCATGGTGGGAACGTGCACGTAGTGCTGTATACCTGAGGGTCCTAGCATGCAAGGGATCAAAGCATGCTAGGTGGTACGTCACAAGGGTGGCAACGAAGCATGAAGACAAAATTGTAAAGCTGATAAAGATAATGGCAACTGAACCGAAATCGCAACTGATTGAATAACAAATGAGTGCAAAACTGTCTTACAAAACAAGGAATAGAAGAACGGTGGAATTTGCAACCTAGTGCAGATCGACTGTCAGCATAAAGTAGCTGGGAGTAACTAAGTGAGCAGTATGGAAGAGTCAGTCCTATGCCAGTGTGGTAGAGAGGTAGACACCCGTCTAATCTGGTTTCATGCAGCACCTTAGAGAGAATGAGAGCGACGTTTTACCACAATCTCGCGCAGCTGGTGGTACCAGGAATATTCACGAAACTTCAGATTTTTATTTGAAGCCGAAAGCTGCTGCTCTCGTGGGTCAATTTGCAGTGGCGGCTGAAGAAGTTTCAGCAAAGCAGACTTCTTGGTCAATTTGGTTGTGACACTGGCTAGATTTTACATGCCAAACTCGTTAGTCATGTATTTTTTGAATTGTTACGCAGTATATTTTCAGTCAAGGTGAGCTTGATCTAGAGAAGTTACAGAAGCTTGTGACAGTGGTCGGTAAAGACAAGCTAGTTCTGGATCTGAGCTGCAGGAAGAAGGTATGATTATTTTAATGCCCGTTATCGAACATCTTGTTGTAAATATTCCCTCGTTACTGCGTTATCTTGATGTGGTAACCAGCTGATCGTGATGTCTCGGTTTCCTAAGCTTTTATTCATGTTTTTTATCAGAATCATGTGTAGGACGTTTGTCTGACCAGCATTGTTCATTCACACAACACGACGTGTAAAAATTAGATGTATGAGGATTGCTAATTTGGAGGAAGTAAATGAAGGAACTTTCATTTGGCAGGATGGACAATATTTTGTCGTTACAGACCGCTGGCAACGATTCAGTAATTTTGTCGTGAATAAAGATACACTAGAAGAGTTGGGGAAGTATGCAGATGAGTTCTTGGTTCATGGAGTCGATGTCGAAGGCAAAAGGTGCGTATGAGATCTAGTGACTCCTATTTGCTGCTCATGACTTCCGAGAGGTGATTAAAATTTCACATTCATTCTAAATGTATCGCAGGGGAAAAGTGATATAAATATATGGTCGTGATATGTTGGTCCTTTTCTTAATCTCGTTCTATTGAAAGTGTCAGGTTTGTTTCCTTGGGGTGAAGATCTCCAATCGATTGCAGTTTCTTTCTTTTCTGTTATAACACTGCAGCCGTCAGTAGGGTTTTGGAAAGTTTTTTTTAACTCTTTAGATTTTGCTTGAAGTTTTACACTGGTTGTTTCTTTTCCCTTTTTTTCTACTTTCTTATTGGTCGTTTGATTCCCACGGATCTATTCACGTCACTAGAAGTGAAGCCTGCACATTTCGGTCTAGACTTTTTGGTTGAATATATCATGTCGACGCTCTTATGCCTGGTTTCGCCCCGTATAAGTAGGACAAAGGACTATGTCCCTTGACTTTTTCGGCTGAATATCTTCTACTTTACAATTGTGTATGAGATACATGTGGTTACGATCTAAATATAGTCCTGCACCACCTCTGTTGGCAGGTTAGGTGTTGATGAGGAGCTAGTCAGACTTCTTGGAGAAAATTCACCTGTAAGACTTTGACTTATATTTCCTGATTCTCGTAATCGTTTTATCGTTTGTCCCATGCTTGTCCCATTTCCGGAGTTTATTTTATGTTTCTTACCATGATTACAACAAGTTCACAAGAACACATCGTTAGTAAATATATATTGTTCTCTGAAGTGTTGGTTTTTAACTCCTGGTAGCTCCTTTAGCTAAGAGATTGTTGTAAGTTCAAAAATTCTAGTGTCATAATCAGTACCCTGATGGGCCAAGATTAGCGCGAACAACTAAAAAGTTTATTCCTGTCGTATCGCATCACGAGCTGATTCATATGGTCTGTGACCTTTTTGAAACTTTGTGTAGATACCAGTAACATATGCAGGTGGAGTGAGCTCAATGAAAGATCTTGATGTTATTATAGAGGCCGGAGGCGGAAAAGTACACGTTACTGTCGGAAGTGGCCTTGATATATTTGGTGGTTCTATCCCTTACAGTGACGTTTTAAATTGGCACTATAAGAATATGGGTAAGAAGGATTGATGTCTATTGAGTTAAAATTTTAGGCAGCAGATTCACTCTTCTATACCATTCAACGTCTGTTCATCAAAATCGCAAATCTCATTGTTTCAAAGTTGCTCTCAGTTTGTAAACGTAATTTTGCATGATATATGAGCTATCCGACCTATTTGTCCCTTTATTGTTCGGTTGTTAACCGACTGAATAATGTTAACAGAATACATTTGATTTTTATCGGTTATGCTTTCAAATCGACGGTCTTGTCCGAGTTGTGACCTGTAACCCATCTCCACGCGAGGATCAATATATAGAATACAGGCATCTTGGATGAGACAGACCAAGGTGGGCGCCTTGTCACTTAGCTGAATGTCTGAACTGCGACACGCTCTGCTGTTTTAGTCCAAACTGACATGGGTTCTAATCCTGGTGTTTTCCAAGAGCCCGCTTGCTAGAATGCGGCAATAAACCTTTGCAATGAGGACAATGTGCTCGCTGATCAGTGAATGTTTTGATGATGTTTTCGCTCATGCCTGTCCCATGGATACAGAATATAGGATGGGAATACCCGATCAAGTGTGTACAACGAACGAACTGAGCGGATGATATGGTCAAGGACTCAATTGCACCACAGTGGGAAACATATCAATCTATGACACCAAGATCACCTAATTGTGTCCACTTGCTTGCATCGGCTAATGCACTGTGCACAGCAAACTTATTAGTACTAACAGTGAAAGAAGTATCAAAATGATCGCAATAGATATCTAATAGGCTAAAGAAAACACGCTTCTCAACTTAATTGACAGCGAGTTGGTGGCAGTGAGATACTCTTGGTGCACGTTATAATCAGGTTTCGAGCACTCTCATGAACCATGACTTGGTGCCCAGTTCAAATCCACATCTGGAGCAAAGAATAAAACTTTTTTGTACGGGGGATGACTAGGGCCACACCCGTTTTTGCTGCGGCTACACCCGCCCGCTAATTACCATGCCCGCTTTTGCTTCTACCCAAGCGCAATTGTGACTCGCGGAAGAAATAGGTGAGCAGGTGGGTTTGAGGGGAGGTTTGCTTTGACGTGCAATCAATTGTTCGTATGTATTGTTCAATTGTCCCCTTTTCTACAAGTAAAAGTTGAGAATTTATTTGTTGTTGTTAACTTGCACACATCCAGGCCTGTTAATTATCCGTGCCAGAACCATGTCAAGCGAACCATGTCACGCGTGTTATCGTGACAGTCTGAACTCCTTAGTATAGCTGAACGTTGATATGATGAACACCGATTCGCCCGGAGGCATAGAGGAAGAGGGCACTACGATAAAACACCAAAACCCTAGTGTCACAAGGGTAATTAAACTTTCGACTCTTTGCAATATTTTCGATCTTCGACATTTACCCACAACACATCACTATTTCACGACGGTGTAAAATGCTTCCAAACCCCCGTATTTTCACGCCATCCGAGTCTACATACTACAAATCACAGATTCAGTGTTATTGAATGTTTTCAATGACACTCACATTTCGTCATATCCAAATCTACACATAACTATTTCATGAGCGCGTCGTGTTCGCATTCTCTGCAACCGCATCTCTCGTGGACGGTTGCAAGAGTGCGTGTTCTTAAAAGGGAAGTTTTTCAGAGTACAAGAACACCGGGCGTTGAGAACAATACACACAGAGAACCTCCTTATCCACTACTTCTATCGTATCTTCTTCCATTTGATCTCGTCGAGCCACGTGGACATACCACTTTCTGTTTAGCTCCGAAGAAAGTTAAACGCTGGCGCGGCTCTCGTTTGAGTGTCTTTCTCTCACTAATGACGCTGGATTAGCGCTAAGTGAGAATCTCGATCCTAGGGAACGACCTCCGCGCACTGCCGCGCCATTGCCTTCGCATTCTTGGAGACGACGAGGAAACGCTCTCGAGAGTCCAAAATTGTTCCGTGTCCGTCGGCAAATTGCTCTCTCTCTCGGGGACGGAATCATGGCTGCCACATCGTTCGCGATGGACCTCAGCTCCCCATCGCTTTCTCGGATCGTCAATGTCAAGCAGGTAGCTGAGGCGTTTGCCCGGTCTTCGAATCTGCGAAAAGAGCTTGTGACTGGCATCCGAATTTGATAAAGGGTCGACAGTTTCTTTCTCTAGTTGTTGATGTGATGACCTAATGCGGAGAATGCTGTGGGACGTGCAGGTGAGCAGCAGCTGCAATGGTTTCAATGCGAGGTCTCGAATTCAGATGCCTTCTCTTGCGGCAGGAATTAAATGTAGGTCTCTCGAGATTTCAGCTATGGCTAAGAGACAGGAGGAGCTTGTTGATATTAGAAAGATGAGCGATGAGGATATCGGAACCTCAGTCGTAGAGCTGAAGGGAGAACTCTTCGTACTCCGGTGCAAGCAGGCCACAAGGCAGGATTACAAGAGCAGCGAATTTCGCCGAATCCGAAAGCAGGTAATGTCGCTTTATTTCCCGTCATGTTTTCGTCCCAACATGTGGTGGTAATTGATTGGGGATCGAACGACCACTATTAACTGGTAGGTATGATCCCTGAAGGACCTGTCCTGAGTTTACTTGGGTTTCGTGCCCCAAGAATTGCAAACGAATTGCTACAATAGGTTCTTATCAAGCTTACATTTACCGTGGTTTCACTGTATCTATATGACCTTGCCCTCTCGTCCTGCATACGGCCCTCTGTACGGTAATGTACCCAACATTCCTGTCATCACTCCGAGTTGGATTTTGCAGATTGCTAGGATGCTGACAGTGAGGAGAGAGAGGGAGCTGGAAAAGGGAATCAACATGAGGGAGTCTCGAAAGCTCGATAGGGAGTGGAAAAAGAACGTGGTTATCAAGCCACCGGCTTCTCTTGCATCCCTTGTGAAGGCCGAGTAGACACATATTTTTTCACACTTTCTCATTCTGGTCTCTCGTCAGTTAGCTAGACTAGCTTCATTCTCCTGCATCCAAAATGTAACTTGGTCATTGGCACTGTCCCCCATGTAGAGAATGGGAGCTGCCAAGTTGACCTTGAGTATTGATACATGTAATTCTAAACGAAACTGGAAAAGAGCAGTTACATTGAATAGAGCCTTGTACAATTTCAGGCCTCAACATGTGGGTTTGTATGGTGTAAAGTTTCTCAAAACCTTCGTCGCATCGACCGAGAATTGTTTTAGATTCGTCAGGTGTTTTCATTTTTGCCATACAGGATACGGTTACATGGGACGGTGGGTGTTAATTTCCTCGTGCTAGAGTTGATTATGCTTTGCTACCACTGAATGGGAGTGGACATAACATGAAATATTTCTATGACCTAGAGTTCACATGTGACCTCCAACACGGCGCACAGGATTGCCATCATTCACATGATAAGTATCGGTGTATCTGCACCCACCAGTTCAGCTTCGTTTGTTATACATGTGACCTTCAGTATATGGCTTTCTGCTTTTCAGCACTTGCTACGGTAACAAACCAAGAAGTACTGAGAACGTCCAAAAAGAGAAGCGCTTAGTCGTCGGCAAATCATGGTGGATGCTTACTTGAGTTTTAGGTTCTACGGTAGAAGGGACCTATGCATGGACATCTGAAGAACTTTCGGGCTTTCGTTGAATACGAAGAATGTATTTTTACGTTAGTCCTTAAACCAGTAACTGGAATTTAATCACACGGACGGACCATTGTGATACTTTTCGGACAGCTCAGTAAGGCAAAGATCAGAAATTGAAGGGTGTAGACCGCGAAGACATGCCAGGGCATGTCTTCGCGGTCTCATTTTCCGCAGCTGACATGTCCCGGAGTGGAAGGGTTACCAGAATGGAGTCAGGGTTTAGAGCTCTTCTCTTTGAAACTTTTTTGGGACCTACTGGCATTTAGATAAATTGAGTGGACGAAGCTGATGACCAGTCTCTGCGGACAAACGATTAATGTGTTACCTTGTATTCAATGAGTACCCGGAAGTATCTGGAGGAACCGGTGCGGATTCGGACGCAGAGTCTGATGAGAGGTGGTGTAAGGTCACATTCGCTCTCCGTGGGACAGCCAGTGCCTGCTTACCATTCTTAAACCCGGAGGTGTGCCCACGAAGGGCTATTCTGACCATGTGTGCGAATGGAGGTCTGTAGCACAACGGACGATTACTGAATAATCACTCACCAGGTCCAAACGAAGTCAACAAGTGGACTAAACTAAAGTATATATATATACAAATGCGTATCGAAAAGTAAAACATGATGATCTATCAGCAGGCTATCACCCATCAGCATGTATAGAATTGAGCCGTGGTGAATAAATCACTCTGAAGTAAGGACTCTCTGTCTGACATAGCCGGCCTCTGATTCAACATTCTCCTTGCCCAAGTAAACCGAGCATCTTCGTTTACCACGCAGTCACTCACGATTGCCTGCCGAATCACGATCTCCAGGTCTGCCATTTCTTGTACGCCTGGTCGGTGACTTCATTGTCCGTCCGCTCGTGAGGAAAGAGTATATTTCCGAATCATCAAGTCACTCTCGATGCTGCCGAATCCCAAGACAGCAACTCCACTGCTGAAGACAGATCCCATATTGGGGGCCCAAGAATTCGGGGATCGTCGGACGCGCCAAGATTGAACGGAGGCAGAAGAATGTGACAGGAAAGTCTACACCAGATTCCAGTGCTGAAGTCCTCCGTTTGCACCATTACACAAAGGACGATCACAGGCTTCGTGAAGTACATTAAACAGGCTGTTGGAAGACGCCTACCGACGGTGGAGAGCGATCAGCAGTTAATCATTTAGTCAATGTGGACGACATCCAGATTCCAGAGTGTACATCCCTCCCTGGAAACAGCAGCACGGACGTCGACTGCCGTACCGTTGTAGGCCCCAGGTATGAACAACACCCGCTGGCGATGCTCATGTCATGTTGCCCTAAACCGAAATTACATCCGTCCGTAGGGTCAAGCGCTCAACATATCCGAGAACTATTGGATGATTTACTTGGAATCTTCTCATGTTCTGCTGAACAGGAACGAAATGGCTCCGGCACGCTCTTGGTGTTCTGTATGTCTGTCCATCTGATGGCCCGCCCTTGTGTAGAGGAAGTCACAGGTCCATGCCATGCAACACTCTGTCTTCACCTTCACGTGCTGGGGAGTTGGGATAGGATAGGAAGGCAAGGAGGGAGGGAGCGAGAGAGGCATAGATGGATTGGCTCTCACTCTTTCTTGGAAGAACATTGTTTACTATGCTAACGGAACAATAATGGTGGGATGATGATGGTTCTGGTTTATAGCGGGGAAGGTGTGGCGCACTTTTTTGAGTCACCGATCCTCAGCGATTGATTTGATGGTCGATCCCCTGCATTTGCTTGAACGGTTTTATCGATTAGTTTGCACAAGATCCGGCTCTGGGTTTACGAGGGCGTTGTCTTTGATAGTCCCGGCTTTTTTTTCCGATAAAGGTCAAGCGAAGGCGAGAAGATTTGGATGCTGCGGCAGCTGATAGATGGCATGATCTGAGCTGCTGGATCGAGGGGGCAATCGTTCATGTGGAAACGGTGAGATTAATGATCACTAGACAGGTTGACATCGTCTTCGTCAAAGTTTGGTCGCGGTCGGTCGGTCTATCCTAACGACGGCAGAGTCGGATTAGTGATTTTGCAGTTGGTCGTTGGAGAATGATGTTATTGAAGGTGGGGTGGAGTGCTGCGCATGTGAATCTGACTCTCCAATCTCAGTTGTTGTCGCCTTTGAGTTCAATTGATGGTGTTTTGGGTCGATGGTGTTTTAGGGGTGAGACAGGCCCGCCGGTGAATTTGGCAGAGGAGCAAGAAAGTCTTCTAGGTGACATGCAGAGATGGTATTCAGAAGGACATCATGATCCCCGCCGTGCTGGTAGTGATGTCCATGTTCTACCTGATCAGTAAGTGTAATGGAGTTCTGCTTTGGGACTTCAGGAGCGCTCAAGCCGAGATTAGATAGGAGTAGGGATCGAAATTGAGTACGGGGGAGTTCGCTAAATAGGGGTCAGGGCAAGTGCAGAGCTTGAATGCATGTACTGTTACCACTCGAAAATGTCATTGGTGTTTGTGATAATCCTAAGCGTAATGTGTGCAGCTCGCTTTTTATGATTTCGCTAACTCGTGCAATGTTTCTGTTTGTCGTTTTCGTGGATCAGATTCACCGACGTAGTTCCAGCGCTACCAGTGTACAAAGTGAAACAGAAAGCGAGCACGTTGGGTGCCTGCTTGTATAGCATACTACTCGTAAGAACTTCGCAACGGTATCTTTTTCACAATCTGTTTGCAAATTGACATGCCTAGGAAAATATGAGCGAAATCTTTAACTGGAGTGGTCTTACAGGCATTTTACGTGCTACTCCTTCTAGCTTCGTCGCTTTTCCGAATTCTTCCGCAAGACAAACTACTGCTACCTATCACATGCAGCTGTAACGCTCTGTTTCTGGCCATTACAGGTGCCCACTGCGCACAGGCAAAAGTACTTAGTGCCTCCTTGCCAGTTAAAGCTCGTGAATATATGTTTCTTTTGACGATTAAGCTCACAAGATACCGAAGTGCTGTAATTCTCAACTAATCTGCGGGATCTACAACGTAGAGCTTTTGCATTTTTTTATTTGTGAGTTTATTCCGTTTCTTGGGCGAGGAAAGGATGATGTTGGTTTAGATGAAAAATTGAAGTCAACTTTAAACTCCGAATGCCTGAATTCCACCGCGGTTGTCAAAAGCAGGTGTACTGCAGAGACATTTGATTGCTGAACAACAGAAGGAACAAAGAGAGGTTTGTAATCTTGAGTTCGGTCTTTACTACACCTTTCAGAAGTAGCTCTATATTTGCATATCGAACATGGTTGTAATAAATGGAGTACTTTTGATGATAATGTGGTAACCTTGCCTTTGAGGCTAATCAATTTTCGTGTTCTAAGTAGGGTACTTGCATTTTTTTATACATTTTTAGGTCAGATTTGCTCGTGGAAGTTATATTCTACTGTATTTTGCTTGGAAACAATAGTTGCGTGATCTTCAAGCAAATGTGTGCTGGCCGGATACAGGGATACCTCCGCTTCAGCAAGCGTCTCGAATGGATAATTCAATTGCCTTTTGCCGTTTTTGCATTCGGTGAGAAGACTTTGGGCTTTGGTACTTGCTGGATTTTTTCGACGTTGTTGAAGTTGTTTGTTCTTGCTGTCATTCTAGAAGGATCATGCGGTAAATGTATTGAAGACACGCTGATAAGTATAGGCTTGAATATTGGCAGGAACGGCTGGACTGCTTTTAGTGGTGGTATGGCAACCGATAGAGAGCCAACAGTGGGTTACTTCCTTGTTTCTTGTGAGGTGATTTTCAAACCCTTCAAAAGGCTTTTTCTTTGAACATCAGCTTTTGTTGACATTTTTTCCCGCCATATCCCGAAATTACTTTCATAAACCTTCACGTTGGTCTCTATCGCAGTTTACTCTTGCTTGTCTACTGGTTGATTGCTTAATAATTAACTCATATTATCAAACCAGTTCTTCTTTTGCTGAAGGTGTAGACTTGTATAATATGCAGGGTTCTCGTTCTGGTGGAGATAGTTCTGACCTTCATATTGATCGGAACTTATCTTCGTACGTCTCTCAATCTTTCATCCATTTTGAACACTGGACAGTATGTCAGGCAGGTTACTCTAACGATCTTGCAACTGGTTAGCAAGCTGTGGTGTGTGCCACATTGCGTGTACAATTTGATGATGAGAACTTGTGATCTTGTCAGAACCGTTTGGATTGACGAGAGAGGTAGCTTGCCTTTTTATATCGAAGGCTTGCTCACTTGCTCACTTACCTCGAAAATTCTGCTCTTTTCCAGGCAAGGTGAAGAGGCATCACGCAGTAGAGAGGCATCCTGACGTGATGAACTCGCTTTATTCAGCGCTAAATCCTCCTGCTTCTCTTCATAATGCAAGGTTTGTAAGGCTGACAAAGCCTTCACTGAAGTGGTGAAATATCTACCAACTTGTCCTGAAGAAGTTAATTGATAAGTTATATTTTGATTGGAGTAGGAAGAACATATAAGTATTTTTATGTCCTTCCAACTAGCCAATTGATACACCAATAAACTTCCACGAAGTATCTTATCGTGAACTCTTCAGTTTCGTTTGCAAACTTGTGTCTGATGATACAGTCAACCTTCGCTACATTAAGGTGATCGCGATTGAAATGCCTTGAATTCAAATCGTTTGTCCTTAGGCACAACGATGGGGGACTGGCAGAGCAACAAGCAGTGCTTCTCCACTACCAGCAGGACAATTTGCGTTATCTCAGTGAGGAGGTAGAGTGACATCCAGTTCGGGATCATGGAATTCGCTAGGATATTGGATCATAAGTCACATGTCGCGCAGTTGGACATAGGCAGCTTATACACTGTGCTACTTCTTCTACTATTCCGAGATAATTCTTTCGGTAGGATGTCCATGGCTGTTGTTGCTGCAAACAGTGAGGAACATCACAGAGTACAAGGCAATGCTTGAAGTATTAAGGAATAGTGCTATCTCCACTACGCTGTGCAAAGTGGAGATAAGTATGACCACATCTGCTCTGGACTGAAATTTTTGAACATTCCAGATCTTGAGACTGCAAGAGACCTTGAGCAAGTTTGATCGATCTCAGGATGGTACCACTCCCCAGGTTCAAATCTGTTCCTACTCATTTCCGCTAAAATCTTGAGGAAGATGGATAAGCTAATTTTTTCACCAGATGAATTGTAAGTGTACACTTAATTGACTGTATAATGTTAAAGCTGAAAATATTATCTTCATGTTACAACACAGGTGGATGTCGTGCATCTGTTGGCAGCACGCGAGCAGGAACTTCGAGCTGTTACTGCAGAGGTATGGTTTCACTTTCCGGAACATGAGGAAAAAGTACAGGAATTGGGTCTCTTTGGTTTTGTGTAACTGACTCATGTTGATACGAACCATCCGGTCATGAGCAAGTAAAGAAAGGGAGGTTTTTTGGTTATTGACGTTCCAACTTGTCAAGATCGATTTTTTCGCAAGTTGTGTACCACCACCTACTAAGTCCTTACATCCTCTTTCGGAGACTAGATATGTCGATGTAGACGCAGTTAGTTAGTTGGGTGTCAATTGAGCTGTGGTTTGTGTGACTGATTCGAGCTTTGACTTGTACAGCGCGATCAACTGCTTGCTGAATTACGGTTGGCCAGAACTCTAATTTCAGAGCGAGACGAAGACATCTTGCGTGTTAGAACTATCAACGATCAGGTGATTATCGTAGGAGTCTTATCCTCCGCTGATTTAATAATTTGGAAGCTGTAGAGTTTCCAACAAATATAACAGTTTCAAGCAAATAAACAATTTCTAGTCTCATTTTCTTAAGATATTCACTATGTTAGTCTAATCTTCGATTTTACTGTGCAAGAAAACAGTATGTTGAGGAGAATCAGCGTGTGAGAGCTATGCTGGATGAGTGGAGTTCACGAACAGCCAAGGTTTGAAGTTCATGACCTTCGCAGTCTACTCAAAACCACTAAATATATCAAGCTCCGGAATTTCAAAGTTTCAAAAATCTCCCCAACCATTGACACAAAATCTGTTGTACAGATCGTCAGTTTATTGTTCAGGTGTAAGTCCTTGCGTTTCACATAGAAGATATGAGATGGAAGCTAACCTTAAATTCATGTTATATTTGTGCTTATGTACTTACAGCTGGAGATAGCTCTTGAAGCAGAGCGGCTTGCAAATGCAGATCTTCACAAGAGGTTCGCAGTGTTACGACAACTCTCTGAACAGAAGTAGATATTACGAAATAGCCTAGGAAGTTAGTGTGCATAAACTTAGAACTTTCTGAAAGAAATCATACATACAGAGGTGATGATATCATTTCGAGTGTACCCATGGCTGGTGCATATGCTCTGTTTGTTCTTGATAACTCTGATAATGCAGAAGAGAAAAAATTGCATTGAATAATTGCTCGAACTGGAACTGTGTCATGTGCTTTGATTCTTTCGAAGTCCCATACATTAATTATGTTCAGTGAACCAGTTTCCCATTACAAGTCTCAGTATGTGAGGTTCTAAGACTGAAGAATGAAAAAGAGGGTAAGGAGATTTATCAGAATAAACATCATTGAATATCTGATCTAGTTGTGCGTTTTCCTAGTATATATGAGCAGTTGAATCTGGAGCTGGAAGCCAGCGTGGAGTTTGTTTCTATGATGGAAGGTGCCCATGAGTCCGAAAGTTCAGTCCTGGACTCCTAGACTCGTCGAGCGCGATCCCTATTGTATATGTATACGCTGCGGAAGGGTATTGAAAGGGATTGTAAGATGCGACTGCATAAGTGGAGCACCTTGACATTTGTAGCCAGGGGACTAAGCAGGTTCCGTCCTGACAATGGAACCATTTAAACCCCCCATTCAGATCTGCAGTACAAGTATGCTGACCAGAACGAGGTCAGAACTTCTGACAGTATATTTTGCTAACTTGCCGACCTGCCCATTCACTCAAAATTTTGAAAAGGCTGATAGTTTGTAGTGCGTTGTAAAGTTTATACCTCAAGTAATGCTGAAGTCTCACGAACAATTAAATCAGTTGTGAAAACAATTGCACATGAAGGTGAACTTGGTGTGTTTAGACACACCAATTGTTTGGAAAAATTTGCTAATTGATATAAAGCTTGTCCATAGATTAAAGAATTTAATTCTTCTGGCGATTTGTATTGCCATGAAAGTTCTAAGGTGGTTATCATTTGCTTCTCCTTATATACTTCAGTATTCTCTCTACTAACACCTTTGTTCTAGAGTAATCGAATTCATGAAGTAATATTTAACCGTTATTCATGAAACACAAGAATAATGAAACCATATATTCACTCGAAACTCAATCCATGTGACTTCATTAACTATTCAAATTGTTTTTTTGGTTAATATTTTACACTTAAGTTTCAATTTAAACAATGATTTTAACAACTTGAAAACTCTATACTTTTGATTTGATGAAATGTTTCATGATAATCTCAAAATCTTAAGTTTATTCAAATTTTATGAAAGAAATCCATGAGATAAGATATGAAAAAATATATCAATGGATGTTACTCCCTTATCCTTGGCTTGTTGTGTGGCCGGTGCATTGTTGTTGTGCATAGGTAGCATAGGTGCTTAGGCGTAGGCGGGAAGTCCGACTTCAGCCCTAGGAATCCGCCTTCGGGGTTGGAACTTGTACGGCGCCTTCGGCGCCAGCGCATCACGGTTGGGTGAGGACATAACGGAGTAGCAGAATCCGTACGGACCGCACGGACAGTACGGACGTCTATTATCTCCTTACAAATACTCGCCAAGACGCAATTCCAATTCCACAAGAGGAATTCAAGTCGCAACTCGCTCAGCTCGCGTCTAAAGGGGCGCAATTCTTTGTAGAGCACCTTCAAGGGAACCTATTTCCGCACCTTATCACTCTTCTTGGGCGCCATGTCTTCGATTCGCATCTTTGCTACTAGCAAGGTCGGTTGATTTTGCTCTCTCTCACTCTCGCTCGTTCTTGCTTGATATTGCAATGTCGGCGCGAAGTCTCCTCGTACTACCCTGTAAGACCCGATATTGCATGTGTGAAATAAAACTAGAATTAGCCAAGGAGTTAATCATGATTAAGATAGTTATGACTAAATCTAGCTAGTTATGACTAAGTCTAGCTAGTTTAGCTAAGTCTAGCTAGTTTAGCTATAATGTCTATACTTGGCGGAATAACTAGAGAAGTTCTAGAAGATTTGAGTGAGCATTTCTATTTTGTCTTGTACAAAATTCTAGATTTCAAGAGAAAAGACTTTTGAACTTCGTGTTTAGTTTTGATTGGTTTGACTAAAGTAAGGAGTATTCCATTGATGAGACTAAATCTAATGTTGACTTAGTGGAAAGTGGAAGTTCTAGAAGTGGGAAAGGCACAAATGACATGTCGCCACCTCAATCTAGGGATTAGTAAACATCTAGAAGGTTTAGGGGGCCAATGGCATGTTGCCACATATTCATAACTAGTCAACCTTACTATGGTTTATCTTCTTAAAAGTAATTTAGATAGAAATTACCATTTGTTACTATGGTAAATTCTCAAGTAGTATATATAGAGAGGTAGTGAAGAGACTCTTAAGCAAGTTTGGAGAGTTCATATGTAGAGACTTGTTTCATATATGAAAGAGTCACGAATTTTCAGTACCTTGTAGTGTAGATGAGTGTATGAGTTGGAGTGATACCTTGAGATATTGTGTGAGAGGGTGTTTAGGTTATGAGTATGATGCGGAATCCTAGTCTTCTAGAATCATGATGATCTACCGAAAAGCCATCTGAGGTAAACCTGAGTGAGAGTCAGCCCGGAGGTTGCAGCCCTTACCCTTGAAGCCCTAACATTGCCTCCTTCCGCACCCCGTAGAATTCTCGACTCGTGCGAATGTCTTCCGGCCCGTTGCGCGATTTGAAATTGAATCCTATCTCTTCGCCGAAGACGCAGCTCTTGCAATGTCCAAAAAAAGGCTGCGCCGAAGATCCGAAGACCCGCAGATCTTCGGCCGTAGGCAAATTCTAACTAATCCTATCATAATTCCTCAAAAGCTACTCATTTTAACTCGTACAACTACTTTCTACACAAATAAGTTTAAGTTTTGTTCATTTTTAAAGAAAAACAAAAAAACTAGGCACCACATACTCCTCTATCCATTTGTGAAAGACCCCGCAAACACTTCACGTATAATACTTCTACACTCTATGACCGTTCACTCGGGTCCCATGTAATTCTCATGAGAGGTCTGCTAACTGGACTGATCCGTTCGGGAACACAACTACTACTTTATAGGGTCCCATCCATCGCAAGTGCAACTTCCCTGGAAACCTCGCATGTCTACTATCGTACAACAAAGCTAAATGTCCTTTAAGCAAAGTTACCAGTCGGACACGCTTGTCGTATGCCTTCTTCCTCTTCAGTTGTATCTGCTCCGTTCGTTGCTTTGCGGCTTCTCTTCGTTTCTCCAGTGCCAACACTTCTTGCAATCTATAGAGCTGACTTTCTTCATCTCCCAGTCTTCTGCGATCTAATATCCGATGAGTGGGCAATTCGAACTCAATAGGTAAAATGGGATGTTGACCATATGTCTCGAGGCTCGAAGGCTCGAAGTTTGCGAAGATTCGTCGGCGGATCCAACGCTCCAATAACTTTCAACTTGTCCGCATCCATAGCTATTCCTTCAGAGTACACTCGATGTTCCAACAAGATTTCGCTTGTCATGAAGAAGAATCACTTCTCGGGATGCAAGGATAGCTGTGCTTCCCGGCACTTATCAAAAGTTTGCTGGAGGTGATTTAAGTGCTAATCACGTGGTCCGAAGACACAAAAATTGTCAATGAAGATTTCCAGGAATTTCCGCAGGTGGTCCTGGAAGATTGTGGTCATCATTCTCTGGAACGTCGCCGGTGCGTTACACAACCCGAATGGCATCTTGTGATATGCATAAGTTCCCCAATCGGTGGTAAACGTGGTCTTATTTTTATCCTGTTCCCGGATCAAAACCTGATTATAGCCGGAGAATCCGTCGAGAAAACTATACATTTTGTGACCAGCCACATGGTCCAGAATGGCGTCTGTGAAGGGTAATGGATGATGATCCTTCTTCGTAGCTGCGTTCAGCTTCCTGAAGTCCTGACAGACACGGATCTTACCTGTCAACTTCTTCAAGACTATGACAATGGGTGAAACCCATTCGCTACTTAGTACCGGATAGATAATCCCCGCACTGTCCGGATAAACTCTTTGTCCAGCCATCGATTTTCATCGTCTTGTTCCTCCGGACTTAGTTCTACTTGGTTGACTTGCGCGTCCTCCTTCGACGGTGTGACGAATCGCACTTGTTGTCTTGCCACTCGAGGTTGATTACATTCTACTGCAATATGCCCTTGCTGCCGGCAATTACTACATAGAGGAAGATAACCTTTTGGCTTTCGAGGATGCGGACAATTAGGAGCAAAATGCCTGACATCGCCACAGTTGAAACATGCGTTCGGAGGAGGTGGGCCTACTGCAGCAAGCGGTGCCAATCTTCGTTGTGGCACCGTAGTAGCCACCTCCTTGGGCACAAAACGTGTTATATGGGCGGGCTGGATGGGTGTTGTCGGAGGCACTTCCTGTACGGCATAAGCAGCTTCTTCCGGGGCTTCTGTGTAATATCCCCCGCTTCCCATGCGGGTACCCACTTCACTGCATTGACTGGGTATGTCCGGCATTCGACGTTCGCGTGGCCTACTCTGCCACAATTTTTACACCAGAGGTTGAGCCTTGCCCAAGTGGGGGACTTCCTCTTGTCTCGGCTCCCTACAACATGAACCTTCAAGTCAGCGAAGTCCTTTACTAAGGCATCCACCTTAGATACTATAGAGGTGGTGCCTATCTCGGGGGCGGCCATCCGCATGTTCTTTTTCTTACTTCCTTTCTTCGGCTTCCTCTCATCCTCAGAAGAGGATGAGTCTTCTGATTTGCTCGACTCTGAGGATGCAGAAGACTCACTAGACGAAGTTGAAGCAGTCCGTCTCTTCCGCCAACTCCTTTTACATTTTACTCGTACCCGGCCTTTTGGACGCTTGTTCAGGGTAGATGTCTCAAAGGCCTCGGCGGAGGTAATCACCTCGTCAATAGTATCACACCTACAGCGTCGGCAGTAGGTCTCCATTTCCATTGGCAGGCCCGTTACATACCAATCGATGGCTTGTTGAGTGGAATAAGGCACACCTTCTCCGGTTTTTGAGATGCGATTCAAGAGATCTTGAAATCTTTCGGTATAGTCTTTTAGGTTCTCCTTGCGCTCCCTGTGCAAGTCTCGCAACTTCATTAACACTCGACTATCATATACTAGTTCTCGGAACTCCTTTAAGAACTTCTCTAGGAGTTTAGCCCACGTGTCAATTCCCATGGGAATCGTGCTCTCGTGGTTGTACCAACTTCGGGCTTTCTTCCGGAGCACGTTGAGGAAAATGCGCAGTCTATCCGCTTCATTGTCTTCCTTATTGGTAATGGAGACCGACTCGAATAATTTGATGTAGGCTTCTGCATCGTCATCTCCTCTACCCTTATACTTGGGGTATGAGTGTTTAGTAAAGGAATGACAATTTCCTTGCTGATCTCCCATCGGTCGATCTGGTGGACCCCCGCCTCCGCCTCCTCCGCCGCCTGGTGGGTTTGGTGGAAAGGGTGGTCCTTCTCTCGGCGAGCCTGGTGGAGATGGAAATTCTCCACCACTGCTTTCAACTCTTGAAGTGCCTCCGGAAGATCTTACAGAATTTGAATCCCTGAATAAGGTAGTGGGCCGAACAGGTGATGTCGACGTGTTAGCAAAAAGATCTTCGTAGTTTTGACCCACAGTCTGCACTTGAGCCGTGTCTTCGGTCGGTAAATCCAACAACGTATGGAAGACTCTGGCGTCACCCGGTATGCCGAATAGCGGTGAAGAGTACAACCGAGGTGAAGTTGGATGTTCTACAGCCGTCAACTCATCAAGGGGTAAGAGGCGTGCATCGATCGGAATTGATGCCAACTTCTCTCGAACGTAGGCTTTGTGTGTAGATGGGGAATTCGCAA